TTTATGTATAAAAGGTCCAATAATGGGATGATCTCACCAGCTGTTCAGAGAATTAAACAGAATAATATATGGAAAACAATTCAAAACATCTGGCCAGGCAGTGGTGGCACACACTTTTAATCCCAGTACTCAGGAGGCAGAGGCAGGTGAATCTCTGAGTTTGTCGTCAGCCTGGTCTACAGAGTGAGTTCCAGGACAGCCAGGGATACACAGAGAAACCCTGTCCCGAAAAAATAAACAGTATCTAGTGTATAGCCCATACATCTTAGCTATTATTTGTACTTAAAAAAAAATGTGTATGGGTGTTTTGCTTGCATGTTGACTGTCCTCTCTGAGGTCAGAAGGGTGTCAGATCCCTTGGGATTGGAGTTAGTGAGAGGAATTGAACCCCAATCCTCTGGAAGAGCCCCCAAATTCTCTTAACGGCTGAGTCATCTCAAATTAACTTTTTATTTTAAGGGCTAGATGTCAGTGGTTAAGAGCACTGGCTGCTCTTGCAGAGGACCAGGATTTGATTTCCAGTACCCACATGGACGTTCACAACTATAACTTCAGTACCAAGGGATCTGGCAGCCTCTTCTTGCCTCCTCTGGAACCAGGCATGGCTGTGGTGCACATAGAAACAAACACAGGAAATACTTTTTTTTGCTGTCCTGGAACTCACTCTGTAGACCAGGTTGGCTTCAAACTCAGAGATACTTCTGCCTTTGCCTCCTGAGTGCTGGGATTAAAGGCATGTACTAATCCTGCCTGGCTATATTTGACACCCAGATTATGCAAGTGATACTTCATGTCAAGTGAGTTTTCAGCCAGGTCCCCTTGGCACATCTGTATTTACAAGTGACTGTGCCTGAAGTTGCTAACTGGAAGCCTCACCAATTTTATGATGAAATTATTTCTCACCAACTCATCTTACAATATTGATATCCACACTGGTCATGCTCCCAAATTCTTCCAGAACTCTTGTAATTCTTGAAATTGAAACACAGTTTTCATTATCCAGAAGAAACACAGGATCCTAGTAGATATCCGCAACCTTGGACACCAGCCCCAACCCAAATGTACGTTTTCCTTGTATGTAGTTGGTTATGGTAAAGCTGAACTTACATATTAGGTACTAATAGAACAATGACTTTTTTCAGGGTCGATGATCAAATCCATGAATTCCTCAGTGCCACATGCCCAGTCCACAATCAATTTATTATATAAGTGGCCTTTCTCAAAATTCACCACCGTACCGTAACAGTCCTAGCTGTCCTGGCATCATCCTTATCATGTAAGAAAAATACACTGCCTACAAGATGAGCTGAGCTGAGGCCAACGACAGAGCTATGACTTAGTGTCGGGCTGTTAACTAAGGTTGGGAACTATAATAATCCATCCATTAGTCTAGCTTCAGAGACCCTTATCCCCTTAAATTATGGTTAGCTTTTTCATTTAATTTATTCAGCCTATTTCCACTGCCATTCTCAACATTATCACATTGAACCCAGTTTTCTCCCAGGACTGTAAAACAGAGCAGGAGGTTTTAACTCAGTAATAGGGTGCTTACTGAGTACATGGGAGACCACAGAATCCACCCACCCCCAACACCATGAGGAGCAGAGCATGCGGGTGCAGTACCTGTGATCCCAGCACTGAGTGAAAGCAGGGCTGCTAAACATCAAGACCAGCTTAAGATATCTAGCAGGAACCAATCAAATGACAGAAACACGGGACTGGAGAGATGGCTTAGCAGTCTAAAGCACTGGCTGCACTTCCGGAGGAGCAAGGTTCAATTCCCAAGACTCACATGGAGGCTCACAACTGTAACTCTAGTCCCAGGGGACTTGATGCCCTCTTCTGGTCTCCAAGGGCATGAGACACACAGGGCATACAGATATACATGCAGACAAAATATACATGTACACATAAAACCAGAAGAAAAAAACCCAAATTCCAAAACCAAACCCCTCCCTCGAACTCATGCTATACCCCTTCAAACTACGACTTTGATGTGTTCATTTTTGCTATTATTCCAGTAGTTCAGGAACATACTCTGTCAGTGGTTCTCAACCTGTAGGTCATGAATCTTTTGGGTCACCTAAAACCACCTGCAGATCAGATATTTATAACAGCAGCAAAATTAGCTACTTCATAACTCTAGATATCTTATATGTAGGATATTGATATGAGGACCCATAGGTTGAGAACCACGTAGTCATGTACAGGAGTCTTCCAGCAGGAGATAGTTCAATGCTTTCAAAGGATCAGGGTTCAGTTCCCAGCACCCACATGGTAGCTCAGCAATTTGCAAACTCCAGTTCTGGAGTCCTGACACATATACATGCAGATCACTCATAAAGTATCTTAATAATGTTGCCTAAATCCTACTTCCTTGCTCAGAAATAAGTCAAAATGTTTGTTTTTTGAAAGTGTTTCTCATCATGTAACATTCCTGGTTGTCCTGGAACTTGCTTTGTAGACCAGGCTGGCCTCGAACTCACTGAGACCCACCTACCTCTGCCTCCCGAGTGCTGGGATTGAAGATGCACACCACCACACCTGGCTACAGCCAAATGTTTAACAAGGGTAGCTCAGTGGTAGATCATTCTCCTGCTGTGTTGGAGTACCCAGACTCCCATGTCCAGCACTCAACAATTGTTTTACACACACCCTGTTTACTCACACCCTGCCCCCCATTTTTGAGACAGGGTCTGTGTAGCCCAGGCTGTCCCAGAACTGCCTCAAACTCCTGACCTGCCTGCCTCTGCCTCCTGTCAGGATTAAAGGAATACACCACTATGCCTGGCAGAACCCAGAACATCCATTTCTGGGTTGGTTCAAATGTTTCTAAGCTGTCAGACCAGTCCTTGGAGTGTCGGCCCCATTACTTATCTGTTCCACATGCCAGATTGCAACAAAGAAAGGCTTACCAAGACTGGCAGAAACTCCCACAAGAACAGGGACAAAGTGTATCAATAGTTTCCCAGTCTCTATGTGTGGCTACTGTTCCCTCTACTGCTTTGTTTTCCAGACAGGGTTTCTTTGCAGCCCGGGCTGTCCTGGAACGAGCTCTGTAGACCAGGCTGGCCTTGAGTGCTGGGACTGAATGCATTCAGCCCCTGCGCTTTAATGATAGCGCTGCCCTGGAGCCAGGCTTGCACTATGGAGACTGAGTCTCCTTTAGCCTAGGTCGGTTTTAACTGTACACAGTAGCCAAGTAGGAGTGGACCCCCTGCCTGTACCTCCCGAGTGCTGGGACCACAGGCGTGAGCTACTAGACTGGACTGTTCCTGCTGTAAAATTCCTTTTTTTTTATTATGGTCTATGTGGACTAGGCTGGCCTGAAACTCAAGAGCTATTCTTGCTGGTCTTATGAATGTTTGAAAGTTTGTGTCCAAATTTTCAGATAAAATTTTAGAGCTAGATGTGGTGGTATGTGTTTTTTTCACTCAGCGGTCCTAACTTGTCAGTTAAGTGTGCTTGCTACTCAATGAGGACTGGAGTTCAAATCCCAGAACCCATGTAAGTTAAGGTTCACAATCACTAGTAACTCAAGTTCCTAGGGACCGGACACCTTCTTGCCTCCCTCAGTACCACCCCGCCCCCCAATTTAGGTGTTAGAAAGATCTCAACAGTGAAAAGCGTTTACTGCTCTTCGAGGACTTGGGTTCAATTTCCAGGACCCACATGTAGCTTCCTGTAGCTTCAGTTCAAGGGAGTTTAACAGTCTTCTGGCATCTGAGGGGACCTACATACACATGGAGCACATTTTTTACTTGTTTTTCAAGACAGGGTTTCTCTGTTCAACAGTCCTGGCTATCCTAAAACTTGCTCTGTAGACCAGGCTGGCCTTAGCCTGGTCTACAGAGCCAGATCCAGGACAGGCACCAAAATTACAGAGAAACCCTGTCTCGGGGAAAAAAAAAAAAAAAAAAAAAAAAAAAAACAACCAAACAAAAAAAGTAGGCTGGCCTTGAACCCAGAAATGACACCTGTCCCTGCCTCCCATAGCGCTGGCATCAGAGGTGTGCATCATCAAGCCAGTCTTTACATGGAACACACATATAACCTCAGGCACACACATACACAGAAAAGGTCTTTAAAAAAAAGGGGGGGGGCCGGGCGGTGGTGGCGCACGCCTTTAATCCCAGCACTCGGGAGGCAGAGGCAGGCGGATCTCTGTGAGTTCGAGGCCAGCCTGGGCTACCAAGTGAGATCCAGGAAAGGCGCAAAGCTACACAAGAGAAACCCTGTCTCGGAAAACCAAAAAAAAAAAAAAAAAAAAAAAAAAGGGGGGGGGGGAGGCAAGTTTGTTTTCAAAATAAAATTTTAAGGGTGGGCACAGAGGCACACCTTCAATCCAAGTCAGCCCCTGGAAATTTTTTTTTTTTTTTGGTTTTTCGAAACAGGGTTTCTCTGTGTAGCTTTGCGCCTTTCCTGGGACTCACTTGGTAGCCCAGGCTGGCCTCAAACTCACCGAGATCCACCTGGCTCTGCCTCCCGAGTGCTGGGATTAAAGGCGTGCGCCACCACTGCCCGGCTGGAAATTTTTTTTTTACACAAGCAAGCATGGGTATTGAGACGGAGACACTTACGAGATAATTTTACACGCCTAAGTCTGTAATTAAGACAGGGCTTCTCACTCACTGGCTAGATAGTTCAGAGGGTCAAGATGCCTGTAACACAGTCTGACAAACCAGGATCCCCGTGGTGGAAGAACCAACTCTACCAGGTAGTTCTCTGACCTATAGTGATGTGCTGTGACCCACCTCAAAATGAAGTTTCACTTTGTAACCCCCTGAGCCAGCTCGTTCTCTAACTGGTCAACTTCTGAGCTATGTACACACAGAAATCATCAAGGAACCAATCTTTGTACGTTAGCATTCATTTAACATTGCCTGAAACAACCTGAATAGCAACAGAAGACAGAGACAGAGAGCATTCTCCTGCTGGACAGACTCCAAAAGCTGGGGAGGAACACTGCTCAAACGCAGGAGCTGAAGGATGCACAGGAGGACAACACATCGAGTTTTATTTCAATCAAGTCACAACACTGTTCCAGCTGCTGCACAGTGCATCTACAGTTCTCCATTACAGATCCACTTTAAAGGGTTCCCTGTGACAATACAGTAAGCCTCTTTTTCCAAACAGGAGCAGTCCCAAGTTTTCCCTCAAAAAATAAGAACTCCATTCCAGTAAGTGGTAAATACATGAAATTACATCAAACCAGACACTTAGGAGGAGAGCCAAGAAATCTTCCAACAGTTTATTAGAAAGAATGTAGACATTTAAAAAAATCCCCACTGTCATGAACATAAATTGAGTTTTTCCAGCCAGGGCATAAGCTGAAATCAAACAGGAAATAAAAAAATCCAATAGTGTATTAACATTTTCCACTCATTTGCCATACTGACAGTGCAAATACAGATCTGGTCTAAAATGTACAGACTCTCAAGCAACAATGTACAGCTTTCTTCCTCCTCCATGCTAAGAGATGTAAGAGCTCAAGGGCCAAACAATACCAAATGTCGAGGCTTCAAGAACCATCTAAGTTAGGGCATTCACTAGTTTTAGCTAAAATACACCTCACCACTGACAAGTGATCACATACAGTAATGTAAAGTATATTTTTTGAAAAATAAACTTTAGTGGAATAATTCTGAAAGGTACACTGGAGGAATGGCAGGGTATCAGGTTAAGATGTCAGCCAATTTGTCTCAGCCCCTTCAAGCCCATGGTCTAGCATCTAAAACTAGTTCTCTTCCCTAAGCTGAGAGCTCCTAACACGTAAGTAACTGTTATAGAAAGAAGACCTAGGTAAAGTGTGTTTATTCATCAGAGCTGCTGTGTCAGTTGCCTAGGATCTCAACTGCTTCATGGAATCCTGGGAAATGTTCATGCATAAGGATATTGCCTTAGCTGACTTAAATTGCCCCATACAATGGTACATTATCAACCCTTAGTGAAGCCTTTAAAAAAAAAAAAAAGAAAAAAAAAAAGGTTGAAAAATGGGTTAAAGGAGGCAAATACAGCATCTGCCTTTAGAGCTATCAACTCAGGAATTTTCTCAATTACGAAATCTTGCAGAAGTTATTTCTCTTTCTCAAAATCCAGGCGATGACAACATTCCTTACTCCAGATCTGGCATTTCTGAAAAGAGTTTAAAACAGTCAGCAAGGTCTACAAGAGAATCTGAGAATCTAACAATCTCAGTAGAGAAGTAGCTGCAGAACTGAAAGCTCCCCCGTAAGCACTTATGTGTGTATGCACTCCCCGTATGCACTTATGTGTGTATGCACTCCCCGTAAGCACTTATGTGTGTATGCACTCCCCGTATGCACTTATGTGTGTATGCACTATGAACAGAGCGAATGTTAAAGAGTCAATGATTTCTAAGAACCACAACAAGGCTTTCTAAAGGCTCCTTCTAGTTCATTAGCCCATTCCCTTCTTGGGAATGCTCCCCTCTCGCCCTCCCGTTTTTTGAGACAGGGTTTCTCTGTCTACTCCTGGCTGTCCTGGAACTCAGAGATCCACCTGTCCACCTCCACAGTACTGAGACTAAAGGTGTTTGCCACCACGCCCAGTGCCTTCTCCTTTCTTAATAAGCTAATTCTGTTCCCCAGCAAATTTGAAAAGTATGCTCTTGAGGCCGGAGAGACTGCTACGCTTCTAGAGAACCCAGGCTCAATTCCCAGCACCTACACGGTGGCTCACAATTGGCTCTGACAGCCTCTTTTGTCCCCCAGCAACCAGCCATACACAGTGCACAGACACACATGCAGGCAAACACAAACAGAAAGTGCTGGGAGGTGGCGGCGTCTACCTTTAAACCCAGCACTTGAGAAGCAAAGCAAAGGCAGGCGGATCTGAGTTTGAGGCCAGCCTGGACTAGTTCCAGGGCAGCCAGGGAAACCTTGTGTATAAACAATAGGTATGGTCTTTTCCTGGTGGTTGCTGGGATCCTAACCTGCGCTCCGCCATTCTCTTCAACTAAGTTGTCCGTGGACTTAAAAAGGACAATGGTGTCTGCTCTGCAATGTGGTCTCAGTGTAAGACCACCACCACACGGGAAACAGTAACAAGCCACCCCAGACCCATCACTTACTTTCATCATCACTGTCTTGTGAATCCTGCAGAAGAAATTTAAACAAGTTACCAAGCTGATCAGACATTCTTTTTAAACCCTAAGATTTTACTTCAGTGGCAAATAGTCACATGGAACCTAGGAACTTAATGGTAACTGATTCATTTATTTTCATAAAGTGAACGGCTGTGCGACAGAAAACCTCTTTCTGCACAAAGTATCTGTGTACTTCTTGGTTGGAATTGAACTCACCCTCAGTTCTTTCCCCCTTATTATCTTATCTTGTCATTCAATTAAAGGAAAAAATGACTCAATACAAAGACAACAATGAATTCTAATTCTACATACGGAAGTTGAGAATTCTCCCAACTACATAAATAACTTTGTGTTAAGATGTTACCAGAATATTGAGGAAAGTACGTCTAATAGTCCAGTATGAGCTCTTAATGCAGTCACATCCTTTTATTACTATAGTCTCTGATGACTTGGTTTTAAATCCTATTTATATCCTTGGTAAGATACTCCTTTTCTTTTTTGGTTTTTCAAGACAGGGTTTCTCTGTGTAACAGCTCTCTGGCTGTCCTGGAACTCACTCTGTAGACCAGGCTGGCCTCGAACTCACAGAGATCCTCCTGCTTCCCCAGTGCTGGGATATGGATGTAAGTGCACACTTGCAGGGGGAGCCATTAAACATGCAAGACCATCTGTAAATAAACTGCCTTTTACTATTAGGAAAAGAGGGTTTGTATACTTACATCATCTGCTCCATCTACTTCTGGTAAATCTACATCCTCATCACCACCCATGTGATCCATCATCTATATGAAACATAAAAATTAGTTTAAAAAAAATTTTTTTTTAGATGAACAGATTTTTTTTTTTTTCCTTCGAGACAGGGTTTCTCTGTGTAGCTTTGTGCCTTTCCTGGAACTCGCTTTGGACAACAGATTGGCCTCGAACTCAGAGATATACCTGCCTCTGCCTCCCGAGTGCTGGGATTTAAGGTGTGCGCCACCACCGCCCGGCCAGTTTTTAAAATGTTTAAAAGCCTAATAGGCTGTACATTCCAGATATAACCCTTCAGTCCGTCATAGGTTCCCACCAATGAATGAATGCAAAAGAAACTACTTCGTCCCTGAAAACAAGGGACAGTCCAAGTAGGACGTGGTGGCAGATGACTTTAGAAGGCCAAGGTCATTCAACTACAAACTGAGCTAAAAGGCAAACAAGCCTGAGAGCCTGAGGTCTCAAAAAAAAGGAAGAAAAAAAGAAAGATAAATGCTGCTAAATTCTACCCAGCAAGATATCTACATGACAGAAACACGGCTCAGTGGTTAAGAACATGTGTTGCTCTTGCAGAGGACCCAGCACCAATACCCAACGATTCACAATCCCAGGGGACTCTTTGACATCTTTATGGTACCCACAGAGAAAGGAAGGAAAGGAGCCAGCACAGGGAAGGGAAAAAAAAAATCCTTCTTTATAGCAGGATATAGTTACCTCTGGAGGTAAAGGAAAAACAAGTTAACACCAGCACAACAAAAAAACCACCAATAGTTGGTAGCTGAAAACTACCTTGGTCTGGATAGATGGCTCAGTGGCTAAGAGTACTTGTTGATCTCAAAGAGGGCCTGAGTTTCAGTCTTGAACACACATGGTAGCCCACAACTATTGATAAACAGCAAACTCCAGTTTAAGGGGGTTCCTGCCCTTTTCTGACCTCTTCAGGCACCGGCATGCATGTGAACACACATGCAAAATAAGCATTCACACACTGCCTGCCTGATCTACACAGTACATTCTGGGCCAGACAGGGTAATGCAGTGAGATCTGATTAAAAACAAGAACATGTAACAACAAAGCTGGGCAGTGGTGGGCACACCTTTAATTCCAGAACTCAAGAGAGGAAGAGGTGTTGACATCCTCTTCCCATGAGATGCTTAAGTAAGCAGTTATGCACATGAAGTTGGAAATTCAGCCCCTAGTTTTTAATGTTCAGATAATCTGGTGTAGACTAGACTGGCCTTGACCTTACTATGACCCACTTGCCATGTCTGCCATCACCCCCAGCTTCACAGAACTCACCAGCTGAACCACACTCCTTCTTTACTTAGTTCACACATAACTAACAAATATTCCCACTTTGGTCACAGGGACGTACTTGTAACCTTTTACAAACAGCATGAAAGTCCTTTTCTGAGCCGGGCAGTGGTGGTGCACACCTTTAATCCCAGCACTTGGGAGGCAGAGGCAGGAGATCTCTGTGAGTTTGAAGCCAGCCTGGGCTACAGAGCGAGCAGCCAGGACTATACAGAGAAACCCTGTCACAGAAAAACCAAAACCAAAATCCTCTGTCTACCTATGTCTTCTTGACTCCTTCTTCTTCTTTTTCTTCTTCTTCTTCTTCTTTTTTTTTTTTTTTTTAAGAAAAGTGTCTCACTATGTGGCCTTGAACTGACAGAGATCCTCTTGTCTCTGCCTTCCCACCGAGTGCTGGGATTAAAGCAAGACTGGTGTGGGGCTGGGGTCTGTTTATGTCTTTCCTTAGGACAACGAGGTTCCTCTTTGGATTCCTATTTGGCCTTGGTGAAAAACTCTCCCCTTCTGATGCCAATGGGGATTGAGAGCCCAATATGGCCAGCTTTGGCAAGCATTAACATAAGCCTAGGAACTGTAGCCATGAGGTTGGATTCTCCAGAAGGTAATGTATGGTAACTGCTTTCTCAAGTATGTTTGAGAACGTGTCACCCAGACACCTTGGAGATTAAGGGTAACCCTGAAGGTCACTGACCTCCATTTGTTAACAGCAGCATGCCAGCTAAGCCTTTTCATTTTCACAATCCTCTTCAAGCTGGTGTAGTACCTACTTTTCAGGAGTGGCTCTGTGCAACATTTACTGGCCTCCTGAAATTCATTTAGCCCCCTTTGAAGATATCTTAAAATTTATGAGCCAGAATGTAGCCATTATGAGACCATTAGTAATGCTCCTTATGAGCTGCCTGTTTTTTCTTTATGGTTCTTAGTTGTTCTTTTGCAGAGCTGCCAGCTTAAATCGTGCTGGGATCAAGAAAAATGGGCCTTGGCAGTTCGTGTTCCTGGAGTTGTATCCATGCCAGTAGATGCCCACACGCTCCAGGAGAGAATTTGACATTGCTGCTGCTGTTGTTGCTCTTACAGCAGTGGCAGCCACCGCTGCTGTTTCTGGGATTACCATTTCATAATTGGTTACTACAGTGGAGACCCTGGCAGCAAAAGTAGCTACCACAGTTAGTTAAGACAGAGAGCCTGTGTGGCCTGGGCAGGCGTCTCCATGACAGGTAAGGTGACCTGCTGATGTCCCATGCAACCTAAGTCAGAAGCTCATTTTTTAGTAAAAGGGGGACCTGTAGGGCCCTGGCCCCCGTTTTGGGTAACTGTTGCCTTGCTTGCTGACCTTTACCTTGATTATCTTCCCTATGATAATTCCCTGACGGGTTCCACCCTCCTGAATGCTTAAGGCAAGTTCCTTGTCTGTGTATCCTGCATAATGGGCATTAACAGCTTAGATGCAGATTGTAAAACATCTGTAGCGAACTTCTGCCCTCCAGTGTTCTTCCATTGCGCTGTAAGCCTGTATTTAAGACCTCCTCCCTCCTTCAGTAACAGGCATTAAAAAAAAAAAAAAAAAAAAAAAGTCTCACTATGTAGCCTTGAACTGACAGAAATCCTCTTGTCTCTGCCTCCTGAGTGCTGGGATTAAAGAAAGACATGGGCCACTAACCTGGATCCTCTTGATTTTGCAAACAAAAAATATCTTTGCACACATTTCAGTGTCAACAACTCACCAAGATGCTTTTATTTATTTATTTATTTATTTATTTATTTATTTATTTATTTATTTATTTATTTATTTCTTTTTAGGGGGACTGAAAAGATGGTTCAGTGGTTAAGAACACTTGTTGCTCTTGCAGAGGACCCAGGTTACTTCCTAGTACCCACATGGTGTTTCATAACTACCAGTAAATTTTCTGAACTCTTAGGCAGATACATATGCAAGCTAACATTCATACACATAATCAGAGTTATGGCCAGTTGTGCTACCATTAAGGTTGCTGGGAACCAAACTCAGGTCTTCTGCATGAGCCACAAGAACTCTTAAATGCTAAACCATCTCTCTGGAACCTAATGCTGGTGTTTAAAGGTGTACTTGTAGAGAGATGGCTCAGCGGTTAGGAATACTGGCTGCTCTTCTTTCTGGAGGACTCCTGTTCAATTCCCAGCACTACGACAGTAGCAACTGTCTCTAACTCCAAGATCTGTAACCTCACAGACTACATGTAAGCAAAACACCAATGCACATAAAAATAAATTATTTGGCCAGGCAGTGGTGGCGCACGCCTTAATCCCAGCACTGGGGAGGCAGAAGCAGGCAGATCTCTTTGAGTTCAAAGACAGCCTGGTCTACAGAGCAAGGTTCAGGATAGGCTCCAAAGCTACACAGAGAAACCCTGTCTTGAAAACAACAAAAAGGTGAATTTGTACTGTATGGTTCAAAGTATAGTACAACTGCTGAATTCATGCTCCTGAATGGTTCCAACATTGGGCTGGCACAACAACTAATTGTACTGGACTGAGAGATTGTACTATTTTAAAAGGCAATTTGATTGTATTTTCGGTATTTTGTGTATATGGGTGTTTTGTCTGCATGTATGTTTGCACAGCGTATGTAAGCCTGGTGTCTGAAGAGACCAGAGGAGGGCCATCAGGATGCCCTAGGAATGGAGTTATAAGCAGTTGTAACTACCATGTATGTGGGTGCTGGGAACTGAACCCAGGTCCTTTGGAAGAGCAGCCAGTGCTCTTAACCAATGAGCCATCTCTCTAGCACCATACATCATTCAATTTTTAAGTTTCTGTACATCAGTTTTTAAAATTACATTTATTAACACATGACTATATACAGGGAGTCATCTCATAGATCCCCATAACACTAAGCTTTGAAAATAATTTTAAAAGGCGACTTTGAGGGGGTGGTTCAGAGTACTTGCTGCTCTTGCAGAAGACCAGGGTTTGACTTCTTAGTAACCACACAGTGGCTCATAACGCCCTATAACTCCATTTCCTGGGACTCTTGACACTGTCTTTGGACCTCCATGGGCACCAGGTTCCCAGATGGTGCACAGACACATACATATGCAGGCAAAGGACATCCATACACATTAAAAGGAAAAACATTAAAATGACTGTACAGAACAGTATTATGGGAACAGAGGAGAGGACATCACTAAGAGAACTTACCTCAGAGAAACGGTCAAAATTAGACATGTCTTCATCTGAATCATCCTCCCAGTCTTTCCAATTGTTGAAGTCCACACTAAGCCAATTAAGCTACAGATCAATAAAAACATAACCCTCTGTTAAATTTTTTGAACTTAAACTACTAAGGGGACATAAAGTTAGCACAAAAGAGAAAAATCCAAGTAAAAACGAAAAGCAGTAACAAGCCCATGAATTATTTAACTTCCCTTTTATACAAAAATAGTCATTGGTAAGAAGCATTGCCTGATATCTGGAACTCTTAAACTCACAAGGCTAACCTTGGAACTTCTGACCCCCTGGAGACATGGATTCCAGCCTGTTAGGCACTCTGCCAACGGGGCTACATCCTTAATGCCACTGCTTCCATTCTGGACGGTACCTTACTAGGAAGCCCTAGCTGGCTTAAACTCATAGAAATCCTCCTGCCTCTTACATACCGGGATAAGCACCCCACACACACACACACACACACACACACACACACACACGGCACCTCTAAGACATTTGTATGTGCAGAGAGCAAGAGGGTAAGACAACCACTTGGAGTCAGTTCTCTCCTACCACGTGAGTTCTTAGAATCAAACTCCGTCTTCAGGTTTGGCAGCAATCACCTTTGCCTGTTTAGTAAGTCCTTCTGGCAGCCAGTCTCCAATTCCTTGAACTTTAAGTGACACCAAACTTTGCTCCCCTTTGATAACCAAATAACTTATAAAACCTTTTTCTCTGCTAAATTTCTCTCCCTTTCCTTGTTTTAGACAGTCTTAACTTCTATGGCCCATGGTGGTCCTGAACTCTGCATGAACCACCATACCTGGGTCAAATTCTTCTGTGTCCATGAGTAAACTCAGGATCTTGTAGACACAAAGCACCAAGCCCATCTCTATAAAAGGACAGGCTCTGGCCTTTTATGTCATCTCAACCCAGGTTAGAGTCCTCTGAAAAATTGCCTCTGTAAGATCAGGCTGTAGGCAAGCCTGTATAACATTTTAATTAGTGATTGATGGGGGAGGGCCCAGTCTACTGTGGGGCAGAGTAGTCCCTGGGCTGGTGGTTTTCGTAAGAAAGCAGACTAAACAAGCCACAGGAGCAAGCCAGTGAACAGCACCCTCCATGGCCTCTGCATCAGCTCCTGCCTCCAGGTTCCTGCTCTGAGTTCCCATCCTGACTTCCTTCAGTGATGGGACTATGGATGTGGAAGTGTACACCAAATAACCCTTTCTTCTCCAAGTTGCTGCCTATGGTGTTTTTATCATAGCAATAGTAACACCCAGGCAAGCGAGTCTCAATTTCACAATCTCTCTGTCTTAGCCTCAAATATGCCACCATGCCTGATGCAAAAGCCTGTCTCTTGAATGTAAAAAATTGTTATCAACTAGACACTTATTTCAAGACATTTGGTGCGAGTCCCAGGCACAGAACACCAGCTTTTACACTACTATGAAGACTACACAGAGAAACCTTGTCTCAAAAACCAAAAAACAACAAAATCTTATTATAAAAACTTTTTAACTTCTCAAGCACAGAAAATGAGTACCCACCTTTGCCCTCTCCTTTGTTAACCTCGGCCACGACTGGCCAGATTCTCCTTTCCGCAAACAACATAAAATCGATCTGTCCGTTCTTTTATGCTTGGAATCCTGAAACCAGAGAATCATCACACCATTCACCTCTCTACTATCACGGTAAAGACAGCCTGTTCCTTTCTACTTCTCCCTTTCTCATTTCTTTTTAACCTTTTTTTTGTATTGTTAGAGATCAAACCTAGGTTCTTAAAACATACATACATACTAGGGAAGTACTCATCAGAGCTCTATTTCCATAATTTGGCTGTTACTGTGCAGCCTGACTTGTCTTGAACTCAAGACCCTCCTTAATCAGCCTATCTGAATGCTAACAGTTTTTATGTGACCCTCTACACTAAGCTTTGCTTCTTCCTTCGGCTTTTCTGAGATGGTTTTTCTATGTAGGCAAAGCTGTTCTGCACCTCAACTTCCTGAAAATTCACCTTATAGGCACAAGCCACCTATCTGGTTCTTTCCTCAGGCTCTCAGCTACTAAAAATTTCAGATCTAAAGATAGGCTTCAAAGGTGATGTCATCTGTCCAGTGACAGAATAAAAAACATGCAGAAGGAAGGTTGTAAAATATAGCAGTCTATAAATTGTTATGTGAAGTAGACTTAATATTTACTATCAGCATTCCTATTTCCTCATAATTTAAATCAGAATAAAGCATTAATACTACTTACATTTGGATCAATACAGTGAAAAAGATCAATTTCATTTAAATGCTTAAAATTATCACTTCCTCCAAGACAACTAAAAAAAGAGAGAGATTCAAATCAGCCTCTTTAAACAATACATCAGCAAAGAAAAAAGCGTAAGACACTCAGTTATCTGAAATAAGCTTCGGGTAATACTGATGTCAAAAGGTGTACTGGCTAGTTTTGTTAATTTGACACAAACTAGAGTCATCTGAGAGAAGGGAGCCTCAAATGAGAAAATGCTTCCCTAAGATTGGGCTGTAGGCAAGTCTGTAAGGCATTTTCTCAATTAGTGGCAGATGGGAGAGGGCCCAGTCCATTGTGGGTGGTTCTATCCCTGGGCTGGCGGTCCTGGGTTCCTTAAGAAAGCAGGCTGAAAAGGCCATGTGAAGCAAGCCAGTAAGCAGCAACCCCCCCCCAAGGTTTCTGCCCTGACTTCCTTTGATGACGAACAGTGACGTCTAAGCCCAATAAACCCCTTCTCCCCAAGCTGCTTCGAGTCATGGTGTTTCATCACAGCAACAGTCACCCTCCCCCCAAGACAAAAGGCAAATTACCTGAAAGTAAGTTTGGATTTTTCAAAATTTACATTAACATCTTTACTGTCTTCAACACAAAATTCAATGAATACATAGTCCCTTCGATCGTACCACTTTGCAGAAGCAGGCTGCCTATAAACAGAGAAAATGATAAATTCAAGCAGGAATTGAGTACTTATGACTTTACATTATTTACTTATTTATTTACTTATTTCTCGATTCCATCACAACTTAAAAGTTTTATTTTACATTTACCCTACATTTCAAGGGCTCCAACAAACTAATTTCAAGAGGACATAAACTTTAATAGGGATTTTATTTTGAGAAGTAGGGGAATAAGGCCTCAAACACCTCATCTTTCTTTGCCCACCCACATAATGCCATGTATCGTTCTAGTATCATTGTAGGACAGAAAATAGTCTTTAAAAACCAACTACCTTTTCCTTCACAGACACTCAGCAGTGTTAACAGGGATTTTAAAAGCCAAAATCTAATGTTTAATTCCCTGTCAATCATTAGGTGATGATCTTTTAAACCATTATCACTAAAACTAAGATGTACAGATTTAATTATAAAGAGAACAAGCCACTTTCAGAATGTAGTAGTATTAGTATTTTATAATCCTGATTTCAACATCAGTTAACAGGGATGTAGCCAGCGGCATAATTTTAGCCTATCATTTACAAGGTCAGGGTTTTATGTACTAAACCCTGGAACAAAACAACAACTGAAAAATATAGAGGTGTTATGGTATGCTGTTTTGTCATTCCAGAACTCAGGAGGTTTAAGGTAAGAGGACTGGGAATTGTAGACCAGCTTGGACTACATATCAAGCTGTTGTTTCACAGAACAAGAGCAAGGGCTGGAGAGACGGCTCAGTGGCTAAGAGCACTGGCTGCTGTTGTAGAGGATCTGAGTTCAATTCCTAGCACCTACATGGCAGCTCACAACCACCTGTAACCTCAGTTCCAAAGGATCCAAGATCGGTAGGCAAAACATTCATACAAAGATACAAAAGCCACCACCACTTGAGGTGGCTCCCCGGGACCCACTTGGTGTTATTACTGCAAGTTGTCTTGACGTAAACATGTGCAGTGGTGCATGCACACACAGCCATTAGTAAGTTAAAAAAAGACACACGGTGGTTTCCTAATCTGAAATGACAGTAAGCCCCCCAGAATAAAAGCTTTCTCTTACGGCAACACCTCTTGACTATATCCTCTACCCTTGGGGTTTTTGTTTGTTTTATGATAGTGTCTTGCTGTTTCAGTGCAGGTTGGCCTGCAGTAATAGTTGTCCCTGCCTCTTGAATGATGGAATTACAGGTGTACACCATTCACATTCAGTTTAAGAGATTTCATTCTTGTTTTCTTTTTCGAGACAGGGTTTCTCCCTGTACCCCTGGCTGTCCTGGAACTTGAGAGATCCGCCTGCCTCTGCCTCCTGAGTGTGGTGTAAGCCGCCACTACTACCTAGCACTTTTGAGAGATTTCAAATGCCCTTTATCCCTTGTAAAATATTATGAATATTAACAATCACTTGCTATTAGTAACATTCATCTTTGTGTGTACACACCAATATGCCTGTAAAGCCAGAGAATTATTTGCAGGAGGCAGTAATTGAGACAGGGTTTCTCTACACAGCCCCCCTGGCTAATGCAGAAGTCACTATGTAGAACAGACAGGTCTCTAACTTATGATCCTCCTGGCTCTGCCTGCTCAATGCTGGATTATAGACACAAGCCACCAGGTCTAGCTTAGTGTTATTTATATGCACCTGTGTACAAGTACCCACAGAGGTCAGAAAAGCTGGTGTTACAAGCAGTTGTGAACCACCAGATACAGATGCTGGAAACCACACTCTGGGCCTTCAAGAACAGCAGGAACTCTGAACCACTGAGACATTGCTCCAGCCCTGGCTTAGAATTTTTCTTTCTTTGTTTTTTTGAGACAGGATCTCACTATGTAGCCTAGGCTGTCCTCGAACTCACAGAGATCTGCCTGCCTCTGCGGGGATTAAAGGCACACACCACCAAGCACAGTCTAGAATTTTTTTACAATGGGGAAAAAAATGGGGTGGTGGTGGTTGGCCAAACACTTTATATTCAGAGACTTGGAAAAAGGGCCAAAGAAGTCCACCAAACCTGTTGTCCTCAGCAGGGTAGATCTTAGAGGCCACTGTTGCTAAGAATACACTAGAAATTTTTAGCAATAAAGAAAAATTTAATTAAAACTAGCTGAACATGGTGGTTTACGTCTATAATCCCAGCACTCGGCAAGCAGATGTAGGAAAACTATTGAAGTCCAGGCTTTGGAGTAGGACCCTTTCTCAACTACTGTCCCCCGAAATGGCATGAGTTTTAGTAGTATAGTTCAGTGTTAGAGCATTTGGATAGTACAGGCCAGCCCCTAGGTTTGAACCCAAGCACTACAAGTATTTAAAGATGAGTTCCTTTTTGTATGGAGTGCTTTTTCCCTTTGGAGCAGTCAGTCTGTGCTGTTTGCCATGCTTGGTGGCACACACCTTTAATCCCAGCACTCAGGAGGTAGAGGCAGGCAAGAGGCCAGCCTGGTCTACCTAGCCAGTTCCAGGACAGCTAGGGCTACACAGCAAAACCCCACCCTGAAAACCCAACCAACCAAACAATAAATAAAAGAAAACAAAGTCTACCTTGCCCTGGTGAGATGGCTCAGCAACCAAGTAAAGGTATTTGCTACACAAGCCTGGCAACCTGACTTCAATTCCTGGAACTCACATAAAGATGGAAACCAGGACTCCGAGACACATCCCTCCACATGCATGCCCACACACATACACATGAACCCACCCACCAATAATAAAAATTATAACAAACTTGGTTGTTCAGTGAAGACTAATAGCTACAGCTCACCATTATTACCCAAGTGTCCTTTGCTTAACTTTAGTAAACAGCATGTTACCATAGGCACCTACACTTTCTAGGTTTTCTAAACAATGTTTAAATTGAAAATAAAGTCTGCTGGGGACAAAAAAAGTGAGAGATAAATAGAGTCCAAATAACCTTGGATTCTAAGTCAACTAAAAAAGGCATTCCCGTGAATTATCTGAAGTGGGGAAGAGACACCCTAAATAACCGTGGGCTGCACCTTCCAGGGCAAGTTCATCTGCCCCGCTGCTGCCACTGCTTCAAGCTTCCCAAGAGGACCGAAGACAGCAGCAGCTCTTCGGGTCTCCGCCAGGCTTTCAGCACCAGACTGGAAGCCACTAAAAGCAACTCCTAGGTTCTAGATTTTTCTGGGTAAGTCAGCCATTGTTCAACTATTCAGCTGACATAGCATCATGTAAGGCAAGCCAATAAACCAATCCCCTTGTTACACACTCACTGAATTGGTTCTCTTCCACTAGAGAACCCTGAATAACCATCAAATAACAGGTACACGAGGATTCAGTGTGGTATTTTACCTCATCTTGAAAATAAAAAGGACTAACCTGGGGGTAGGGCTCTATCGTTCACCTGCTTCTTGCCTAGAAGTTGAGGTTGTTATGGGTCTGAGGCAAGAGAGTGAAAGTGCCATCTTAAAGTGGGCTCTCCTCCCACACGACTGGTGCATTGTAAGGGGAGAAGAGGACGTGGATGAGAAGACACGGGTAGCTATCAAGTGAAAGAGAACCATTTCTTAGAAAATAAAAATAATCAAAGTAACAAATGTGTTTGATGTTAAGGTCTCACTCTGTGGTTGGCCCCAAACCTGCCAAACTCTCACAGTAGTATCTAGAATCTACTTATCTACAAACCAAGTCTCTCTATATATAAATGTGATAAACTATTGTTAATGTCTGAATTTCTTTTTTTAAAAGATTTATTTATTTATTATGTATACAGTATCGTTTGCATTTATTCCTGCAAGCCAGAAGAGGGCGCCAGATCTCATTACAGATGGTTGTGAGCCACCATGTGGTTGCTGGGAACTGAACTCAGGACCTCTGGAAGAACAGTCAGTGCTCATAACCTCTGAGCGATCTCTCCAGCCCTAATATCTGAATTTCTACTTGAAATAAGTGAGGGAAAATAGGATGAGGGGCAGAGAAATGGCCTAGCACTAAAGAATATTTGCTCTTCAAGAAGACCTTAAAGCAAAACCAGAATGACCTGTGTTCAGTTCTCAGCACCTACATAAGGCACCCTACACAGCCCGTTAACTCCAACTCCAAAGGACTCTTCTGGTCTCCTCAGGAACCCCCACACATCTGGCAAACTCACACAAAATCTTTTAAAAAAGTGCTACCATCTAGCCACATAATAGCGTCATCTAGAAATTACTCAAAATCAGGAAAGTATGTTTCTTTCCAAAACTCACACATACATTAAAGGTACTTTATATATAAATAAACACTGGCTTGGCGATGCTTTTCCGAGATAAACAGTTCTCTCATAGTTAAAGGTTCATGTGTATAACTGTTTTGCCTACAGAAGTCAGATGGATCCCCTTGAACTAGTTATAGAGGGTTGTGAGCTTCCGCATGGTTGCTGGGAACTATCAAGTCCTCTCCAAGAGCAGTTAAGTGTTTTTAGGTTTGGTTTTTTTTTTGTAGACAAGGTCTCTACATAGCCCTGGCTGTCCTGAAACTATGTAGGCCATGCTGGCCCCCAACTCAAGAGAACTGCCTAGCTCTGCCTCCTAAGAACTGTGATTGAGGGTGCGCTGTACCTTGCCCAGCTAGTAAGTGCTGTTAACTGCTGGCCCATCTCCCAGACCTGCTAACTATTTTTCAACCACCACCCCAATATACTTTTCAATAGGCTTAACATGGGGCATAGGTGAATTTGACTGAAGATGTGCTACAGCGTAACAAGACTCAAAGCAGACTTCAGGCCCAAGCCTAACCATCAAAAGCATCTCATGTAAACATGCCCTACAGCCAGAACACATCAGAGCTTGGACATCATTCCGTGTTTACTGGAAGGCAGTGCTGGGAACTGTTCTGGAGATGCAACAGGAGAGGAAGATCCCAGCTCTTCCTAGAGCCAGGTGTGGTGGCTTCCACTGTAGTCACAGCACTTGAGTCTGAGGCAGAGGATCACTACAAGTTCCAGGACAGCCTGGTCTACATTTTCTGCACCTTTAAAGACCACACTTCAATGAATAATATGGTTATGTAGGATGACTCTGCTCAGGCTTCAGGCCCCCCCCACGTGCGTGTGCGTACGCGCACACACACGCAATTATCCATGCATACGTACTACATACACATATAATTGCACAAAAACTGATTGTGCATGTTTGTATGTAGTATATATGCACATGTGTGTATAGGGGTGTGAGGTGGCCAGATGTCTGTCTGTCCCACACTTGCTCTACCTCCACACCTTATTCCTTTGAGATATGTCTCTCAATGAACCTGAAAGTAGGTGGTCAACAAGCCCAAATAACCCTCCTGTCCTGTCCACACAGCTTTTTATGTGGGTGATGGAAATTTTTAATGATTTTATTTTATGTACACTGGTGTTTTGCCTGTATGTATGTCTGTGTGAAGGTGTCAGATCCAATGGGAACTGGAGTTACACACACTCGTGAGCTGACAGGTAGTTGTTGGGAATTGAACCCTGGTCCTTTGGGAGAGCAGCCAGTGAGTGCTCTTAATCGCTGAGCCACCTCTCCAGCCCCGGGGTGATGGAAATTTGAACCTAGGTCCTCATACTTGTTCAGCAAGTACTCTTACTGGCTGAACCATTTTCCCAGTCCTCTTTTCAGTGTTTTTAATGAGGGAATCTTTTTTTCTTCAGGGCTTCTCTGTGTAGTTTTGGTGCCTGTCCTGCATCTCACTCTGTAGCCCAGGCTGGCCTGGCTCTGCCTCACGAGTTCTGGGATTAAAGGCGTGAACCACCGCCTGAGGGAGTCTTAACTATGCCGGCTTGGATGGCATTCAACTGCAACAAACCTGCCCCTCCCTACCTTTCCATGGACAGTACTCATGTGGAGATACAAGGATCAGGAGTTCACAAAAGAACGAAAACAAATCTGTTGTGTCTGTGTCAGCTTGTAATGAGGAACGACACCAAAGCTCTGCTATGGAAAGCCAGGCACTGGGAGGTGAAGGCAGCAGAGCCAGGCCAGGCACTGCTGAAAAGAAAGAAGGAAGTTTTAGCTGGCCACAGTGACGTACACTGTTAATTCCAGCACTCTAGAGGCAGAGGCAGGATGGTCTCCATTTGAAGCCAGCCTGGTCTACCCAGTGAACCATGTCTCAGAGAAAAAAACTAACCTAAATATGCACATTAGTTGGAGGAGATTCAACTGTACCATATCCCCATCTTTCATTAAGTTGTAGCTTCTGGAAGCTGGGTTTCCAGTAGTTCCTGTGATTTAATTTAAAAAGAGGGCTGGACCAGTGGTGGCACACAGCTTTAATCCCAGCATTCAGGAGGCAGAGCTGGGGGATCTCTGTGAGTTCAAGGCTAATATGGTCTACATAGTGATACCCATCCAACCATCAATCCATACAATAACCAACAGGGCTGGGGCTATAGCTCACTGGAAGAGCTTTGCCCACATGGGTGAATGAAGCCCTAGGTTCTTTCTATCTTGACAGCAGAAGATAATACAGCAGTTCATTTAAGAATGAACAGAGCTGGAGGCCGGGCGTTGGTGGCGCACGCCTTTAATCCCAGCACTCGGGAGGCAGAGGCAGGCGGATCTCTGTGAGTTCGAGGCCAGCCTGGGCTACCAAGTGAGCTCCAGGAAAGGCGCAAAGCTACACAGAGAAACCCTGTTTCGAAAAAAACCAAAAAAAAAAAAAAAAAAAAAAAAAGAATGAACAGAGCTGGGTATGGTGGCACATGCTTGTCATCTCTCATTGGTGGTGGGAGGAGGACCACAAGTTCCACGTCAGCCCGGCACACCTAGTGAGACCCACCTAAGGAACCCTGAAGCCCCACAATCGGCTCTAGATTTTCCCGGGGGGCAAGGATAACCAGGAACTACTTAAGACCCCCAAATGATTTTCTGGGCTCTTAAACTTTTAAAACAGAAAATGCAATTTAGCAGAGTAATATTAAATTAGTAATAGGAGTAACCTACAATCCAGCATTCTTTGTCACTTTGTTTCTATGCCTTCCAGTTAAAAGTCTAACTCAACAAGAAAAAAAGGAAAAAAATCAGTTGCCAGGTTACGGTGGTTAGGAAGTCAACACTGAACAAAGGCCATCAGTTGCTCTTTTCAAACTTACGAGACACTTACATAGGACATGCTCATTGTTTAAGTCTGGAAGGCTCAAGATTTTATTTTGGGAGTTCTGCAAAGCATATAAATATTTATTTATTTAGTAAATAAATAGGTATAACTTTAATCCCAGCACTGGGGAGCCGAAGGCCAGCCTGGTCTACAATTCTAGGACAGCCAGGGCTACACAGTGAGACCCTGTCTCAAAGAATAAGCCTATTTACAGCAGACATCAACAAACTACGCCATCAGCCAGATTTTTTTTCAATTTTCACTTTAGAACTCTAAGTCATTAGTTACATAAATGCCTTGATGTTTACAAATGGTATATATTGACCATTTTTATCTTCTAAGGAGTTGTTCATATTCATTTTATGTGTGTGTTGGCTACATGTACGTAAGGACATTGCTTATATCCCTGGTACTGGAGGCCAGAGGGCCAGAGAGATCCGAAGAGGGTGCTGGATTACGTCAGCCACCATGTGGGGTCTGAGAATTGAACCCAGATCCTCTCAAAGAGCAGCAGCTGCTCCTCAAGACCAGCCATCTCTCTACCCCCATATACTGAGCATTGAAAACAGCATCGGGTATGTGATTGATTCAAAATGGGCATAATGGTTCAAGCTTTTTTAAAAAAAAAAACAATTATCTTAATGGTGTGTACCACCCTCTAATTTCAGTACTTGGGAGGTAGAGGCAGAAGAAAGATTAAGTATTCAAGGGTAGCCCCATATGTAATGAACTGTAGACCACTTAGGGCCTCATTGACCCAACTCAAAAAACCTTAAAAAAAAAAAAAAAGAAAGAAAAAGAAAAAGTTAATAGGGCCAGGCATGGTGGCCCACTAATCCTAGCACTAGGGCGGGCAGAGGCAGGTGGATCTTTGTGAGTCCCAGGCCAGCCAGCGCCACATAGTGATACTTTGTATCAAAAAACCAAATTAATAGAGGTTGGACAATGGTTAAGAGCACTGGGTGCTCTTCTAGAGGACTCGGGCCTATCCTCAATAGCTTTATGGTGGTTCACAACCATCTGTAACTCCATCTAGTTCCAGGCAATCCAACACTCTATTCTGGCCTTTGGAAGTGCTGCAAGCAGGTGGTACGCAGACATATATGTACAGCAAAACACCCACAGACCAGGTTGGGTGGCTCACAACTGCCTCTATTCATATCTTAATACCTCTGCAGGAACCTGCATTAGAATGTACACATCCACAAAGACGTAATTAAAAATAATATAATTTTTAAAAACATTTATTTTTGCCAGGTGATGGCCGCCCAAGGCAGATCTGTGCGAGTTCGAGACCAGTCTGGTCTACAGAGCAAGATCCAGGACAGGCTCCAAAACTACACAGAGAAAACCTGCCTCGAAAAACAAAACCAAAAATAAATGTGTGTATATTATCATTTATACTAGTATTTTGACTACATATAAGTATATATATGTGCTACATGATTGCCTGGTGCCCACAGAGGTCAGAAAAGGGCACTGGGTCCCCTGAACCTCGAGTTACAGATGATTGTGAGCCACCACGTGGGCGATGGGAGCCGAACCCAGGTCCTCTCCAAAAGCAGCAACCACTCAATCTGAGCCACCTCTCCGGTCCCAATAAAAACAAAGTCTTAAAAGGAAAAATTTGTGCTGGGCAGTAGTAGCACACGCCTTTAATCCCCACACTTGAGAGGCAGAGGCAGGCAGATCTCTCTAAGTTTGAGGCCAGCCTGGTCTACATAGAGAAACCCTGTGTGTGTGTGTGTGTGTGTGTGTTTGGGGGGGGGGGGGTTGTAACCAAAAACATTACCTTTGAAGGTAATAGCACTACAATTAAAGAATGGGTAGTGCTTGTAGTTTTTGACTTTATGTGCATGGATGCTTGCCTGCATGTATGTGGACCACATCCCTAAAACTGAAGTTATGGACGGTTGGGAGCCACCACGTGGGTACCGGTAATAGAACCGGGTCCTCTGCAGGAGAAGCCAGTGCTGCTAAACCACTGAACTACTCTCCAGCTCCTAAATTGGTACTTTTGGATGAAAAGGTGTTTTGTTTGGCTATGCTCATCTATTAAATTGATTATGTTTTACCTAGCAATTAATTTTCTCCTTACTGATGTTCAATCTGTTTGGTATATTAAATATCAAAAAGGAAATAAACGCTTTACATCAATTTGTCTTAAGCCAAAATGTGGCACTGGAATATAGCTCGGTGGATAGAGCCCTCCTCCCTAACATAGGGTTCTATCTGTAACACCTCGAAAATAACATTTAAACCGGTGCTGGTGAGTTGGCTCAACAAGTTAAGGCACCCACTGCCGCCCTGACAACTTGAGAATACATATCCCCACGGGATGGAAGAGACCTTCCCACAGGCTTTCCTCACCTCCAGGAGCAGTCACTCACACAAGAATAAGTTTCCTTACGCATTTTCCAGCACTCCATGCCTTCTTCTCGGGCCTGTTCGCGGCCACCAACCAGCTCTCGGGCGTGCTCCACCCGTTTAGTTCCAGCCATGCACTGTTCAAGCAAGCCCTCCCACCTACCGCTACGACTGTTAAAACCCAGCTTCTTTCCGATCACTACCCACAACTAACTTTTAGGGCTGTGCACTGCACCCGCTCCCACCACCACCGAAGGCTGGAATTCAGTTCTCCCATCTGAAAAGTTTCCCCGAGAAGGGAAGGCCTGGAAAAATAGGGCCACAAATTCTTTTAACAGGTTCAACCCACCAAGGTCCCTCCCTGTAGGTCCCTCCCTCCACACCCATTTCGCCCTCCCACGGACGGTGCACCACGAAAGGCCATGCAAAGTTGATTAAGGAAAAGTGCACAAGTGTCCTGTGGCCGGACACGTGCACGGCTGCCCGCCCCAGTCACCACGATCCCCTGCACGAGCGGCTGAACCTGACCACTTCCGAGTCAGGAAGGCGTCCGGGAGGCCCGGGAGGGAGACCGCGCATGGGAACGGGAAGTTTCGTGGTGGTGACGGCATGGCCACCTCCAGTTGCCTAGCAGTGCCCGCCGCCGCCGCCGCGGGCCGCGTGGTGCCCATCGGCAGCCCCGAGGGCTTCCCGGGGGGCGCCCGCCAGCTCTCGGCCCCGGGGCCCGCATGGCGAGGCGCGCACACGCGAGTTCGGGGCCCGCGGCTAAGTTCGCGGAGTTGCGGGCCCGCCAGGCCCACCCGGGAGGGGGAGGACGGGCCGGAGGAGGGGAGCGGGCGT